GAACAGTTATATTGTTTAATTGGGGATGATACATTCACTGAAGTTGAATGATATGTAACTTTCATATAAATTTGTCGGTACAATACGCGCGTATTTTCGCGCGAAGTCCGACGACCTCCTTCAAACACCTATCTGTGCTCCTATGATTAGTTCCGCAGCCCGACCGGATCAGGTCTGCAAACAGCGACGCGACACGAAGCGGCCCAGAGTGGCCTCCTAAGCTTCAGTGCAGAGAGCACACCCGAATTCCCCATGAACGTCGTCTGTGGAGAGCCGGAATGAAACGCACAGATAGTCCCTAGTATGAATTTTCAACAAGTAGGCCTAGCCAGGCCGTCCACCATATAATCATTTACCAAATGGTGCGACAGCTGATTTCCATCTGATAATCTACAACTAGCCAGCCTGTTAGGCAAGTAGTCCTATGCTCATATTTCAACTAATTTTTCAAAGCATCAATGTTCAACTACAGAATCAATTCAACCAAATTAATCACCGATGCACATAGGTCAACTTGACAAATTAAACAGAACAATAAACGCAAGAGACAGCCCTATTTCCCATTTAAATAACTTAGACAGTGCCAACTAAATGTAAACCAAAGGAGAATTGACTTTTATTTACTTCGGCACAAATAGGGTTATCTAATTTCAGCCTTCCTTTTCACAAAGCAAAATGATTAAACACTATCACAAATATATACATAATTTTCTGCATGAATGCAAACTTTCCCTTCAGCAAACAGACGCAACAATCAAATACCGTGATTAAATATATTTACAAAACATATGCAGCAGCATTTAAAGGAGTAGATTAAATTCAATTCTTTACAGCTACAAATAGGAAAATTTCGCGGAAAGCCCAAAAGCATTTTTTAATTTTAATTCAAAGAATTTTTAACTAAGTGCTCGACCAAACCAAATTTAATACCCCTTGACAGCGTGATTCAACGCTCCAGGGGGGCCCTAATCTTCCCACCACCAAGGGGAGGCCACACGGCATGAACCCGAGACCAATAGAGCGCGAACCGCTAACAGTCGCCACTCGGGTTGTACGCCTTCACTGAGCCCGTCGGCAAAAGAACATTTTGAAAAGTGAACTGTTGACGGCTTAAGGCTCAGTGGAGGCGGCCGTGGTGGGAGCTAAGGCGGCAGCTAGCCAGGGCCACCTCCATCAAATGGAGAACAGTGGTACACCAGTCGCGGCCACTTAGCTAACGGGAGTGAGAAGGGTCCAGCGGACCGATGAGTGGCCGTGAAATTCCTCTCCACACGCTGAGGGGGGGTGATGACACCCCCGCCCCTGGGGGAACTACCCCCCGACTGGTCGGGGGAGGGACCCCTTTCAAACTTAGGGGCCTGGTGGCTGGCCGGCGGGCGCCGAGTCGCCCGGCAGAGGGCGTGGCTGAGCGCCCCCGCCCGTGGGGGCCGAGGGCCTGGCAGAGCCCCGAGAGGAGACGCCGTTCGCACCCAGGCACAAAACTGCATGGTGATTGCCCTGGCAATGCAGACAGGGCCGCCGATGCGGACAGTCTCGCTGGAGGTGCCCTTCCAAACATGAGCAGCACCAGTGGCGCTCCTTGGCGATAGTTCGCCTCGCCGGAACCGGCTTACCTAATAATTTCGGGCACGACGTTACCCGGTGATCAGATGCTCGACAATAGGAGCAGGGGGGGAGGGTTGACGACGACTTGCCTGGCGGATTCAGCCTCTCACTGGGCACGGTTCGTAAGTCGTCAACGGTGCCCGCCGCGTTCTCGATCTGCCGGCACTGCTCCTCCAAAAACCGCAGCAGGTCATAGAAGGGCGGAATATAGGAGGCCTCGTACCCGCCGTACCTCTCCTCAAAATGTATTCGAAGGTCGAGAGGTAGACGGGACAGCACGATGCGGAGCAACAAAAAGGCCCATTCGCCCACTGGTAAATCCAGCCGCCTCAACGTATTACAGGCCACCAAGACTGGATCCAACAGGTCCGGACGTAGTCTGGCCCGGTCACTAAGCAGCGAGAGGCTTAGAAGCTGCTTAACATATTCGTCCGCAATTCGCCGCAAGTTGGGGTATCTTCTGGCTAGGAGGTCCCGAGCAGTCTGGTAGGCGTCGTCTGACAATCTCAACAACATACCTGCCTTCAGCCTCGATCAACTCGTCCGTGAGCGAAAAGAACTGCTAATAGTCCGCGAAGTAGGAGTCCAGGACTCCTTTCTCCACATCCGAATCCTCGAGCTCAGCGTAAGCCTCCTCCACTGTGGCCCTTCGAGCATCCACCTGCTCGAACCGCTTCATCAAGTTATGGACCCTATCCGGTCGACCTATCAAAGCATGGGCGCTTGTGGCCCCTCGTAACTCAGTCCGCAGGCAACGGATTAGTAGCTCGGGCGATGACATTGTGACGCCTCATAATTATTATTAATAAATAATAATTAAATTCGTTATACAGACATTTAAAAATGTCATAGAAATTATAATTTAAACAATTAAATGCAAATAATAAGCATAAAGTTCAAAAATATCCATTTGGAATATTGAATATTATAATATTAGTCTCTAAAAATGTCTAAATTTATTAAAAACCTGCTTAAAATGTTCAAAATGTATCAAATCATATAAATACAAGGCGATTATATTGCAATAACAAAGATAAATAACATTTGTAATATAATAGAAAAAATGGATCAAAATTTTCTAAGTTGATGAAGGTGTTCTTGTAATAATTGGAAAATTTCTAAGTTGATGAACGTGTTCTTGTAATGTTCCCTTATATTGGGGCGTTGCCGGAGACACATACCCAAGGTTGTACATATATATGGGGTGGTCGGCTGACCGACTGCTAGTACTAAGGTTGCACAATGACTAGTCCTATATTAGGGACTTATCATAGTAAGGTCTAACGAACCAAAGCATTAATATAGAAGGTCTCTATGATGCATAAGCATTATGATAGCAGAGTTATGACTGGAAGTCCCATATGAATAAGACATACAATAGTATGGTCTATGAAATAAAGCAAATATGTGGAAGGTCTCAAATATGTAAAAGCATTATATTGAAAGAAATGGGACTTGAAAAGGATTATTATAGTGGCATGTAGGTTGCTTCGCAGCCTCTGAGACCGAGGTAAACTTGGACTCACTAACCGATGTGTCCTAGACATATCATCTTAGTGCCGGTGGTAAGCGGGTTTGTTGTAGCAATACGACTTGCCCGTGGACATCGCACACCCTACCGTTTGTGGGCGGCGTCTTAGCGCATAGCGTTATGATACGTCGGCTATCTTTCGGATTAGGGTGAGTGTGTTTGGTAGTACTTTTAAGTGCAGCAAGCATACTCAACTTCATGTCTTAGTGCAATAGCGCTATGATACGTGGAGTTTTGGCTACTGACGTCTTAGTACCGTACTACTATGATACGTTGGTGGTATTTTTAGTTAACAACATTATCAAATTTTGTTACCAAAGTCGATAGGGATCATGTAGGTGTGTTGTGAGGGGGCGCCATCCGTATGATAGTTGCATTGATGCTTACTGCTACTTGCAGTATTGCGTCTTGTGATGGATCTGCGGGTGTACTGCACCTGAATTGACGCATCTTGTGGTTCTGGTCGATGGAGGTATGCGGGTGGTGATGTCTGCTGGGACTGTATGGGGGACCTTGGGATGGTGTAAGCCCGACGATAGTCGTATTGATGCTTGTTGCATTCTGTAGCATTGCGTCTCTACGATGGTTGTTTGGCGGGTCGCTATTCTCAATGGCGCTCTCTGCGTCTTGGTTTGACTCACAACCTAAGTAGCTTTGCCCAAGTCGGGTGGGTCCCTTCATTGCGGAGCTGCAGACTGTCTGCCCTCCATGATGTTTTATATAACAACTTAATAATATATCTCTATAAAGTTCCCACCTTTGAGAGATTGAAGGCAACTTGTTGGTGGGTGAGACAAACATGATCGAAAAATGCATATACTCAACGTCAGTGACACAAACCCTTTCTGATGGCGAATTATTACTAATAACTTATAACTGCCTATTGGCTATATCTGCCATTGTATTGGTTGGTGGAGCATATGTGTCGACCTCATGCGGGTGGTAGCTGGAGGGAGAATCTGAGGAGGCTCTCAAGGCTGCGGCCGAAAGCCGCGCAACGTGGGACCCCATTCCCTTGAGGTGAGCGGTACACTCATGACACGCTCTGCGGCCAATTGGCCGTGCTGACCATGCAATTGGTGGTGATGCCTTACACTTACATCACGTCTGCAGAAACGGCGGTCTGGCAGGTGGTGGCGCTCACGGAGGGCTTTTTATGGTCAGTGTGCCGATTGTTGCCTAACCCGTGTGACGTACATTTCACTGTGGCTGGATTTAATCGTATTCTGTATGGCGTTTACACGCATTGACATGCGCGACTTCGGTCGATGTTTGTGCTTACGCACTATCAAGGGGCCAAGTCCTCTTTTACTGGTTCGCCAGTTATTTTGCTGTGGACTACGGTCCAGTTCCCAACTTAGCGTACCCTTCGGGGGGAGCGCATTAAAATGGTTGGCGCTCACCGTGCGCGGCGTGTGTGGGGCCGTGTACCTCCTCCACATTTTTTTTTAAAATGTGGGAGAGCGAAGCCCTTGTAGCTGGTATTTGTGTACGGTCCAACCGTACATTTCTGCTGGCGTTAACATTTTACGCAATGTATAGCGATTGCATTGCGTAGTTGGACAATTATAAAAACTGAGTTAGTTCACGTTTTCACCGTAAACGCGACGGACGCGAACTCATCAACATAACATTTAACATTAACATTTAGCATTATTCAACATATTTTAATCTTATATTTTTTACTTGTTTATTAAACTGTTTTAACATAAAATCTAAATTATTATTGAACAGTCGTCCAATACCCGAACATTTTTGGTCCTTCGAGCGAAACATTAACATTTTTGGTCCTTCGAGTGAAAAATAAACATTTTTAGTTCTTTGAAAAGTGAATTGGACCCTCGCGTGTTTCAAGGACAGTGAGCTGACAGTGAGAACTAGCGAACTCAAACATAACAGTGGTCATCTTGCTCAACATCCTCAACATTTGGCTTGGCAAAACAGCAGCTTTTCCAGGTCAAGAATCAACGTGTCGGCAAGTTGGTCAGCAGCAGAACCAGCATCAGCAGTAATCAGCAGTGTCAAAGTAAGGTCTTTCCTTTTTTAACAGTTTTCATTTTAGTAACAAAATGGAAAACGTACACGCTAATCAGGTTGAGATTGTAGGAGCTATTCGTAAAATTGGTGTCAATATTAAAAAAGATGGGTCAGAGCGTAAAACAATAGATTATTTTAAAAGAAAACTTGAGGTTTTGGAATCGTATTGGCAAGATTATCAGAACAATCACAGCAAACTGGTAAAAAGTGAGAGTCGTACACATCCCTACTTTACAAATTCCGAGTACGACATTGCAAGGGAGCAATATAACTCGGTAAAAGAAATCATTAATCAGCAGTATCAGGATCTCCTGGCTAGCCAGAAATATTATCCAGCCCTTGAAGGTAAAACAAGTCAACAGATGGAACAGCGTGGATTAGGTGAGCCGTCTTCAGGAAGGTCGTCGGAACCGCAAGAGGCTCTTCGCCCACAGGCACATCGAGGAACAACAAGTAAGTTAGATGACATGTTGCGCAAACAATATATTAATTTTAAGGCATTTAAAAGGTCTGTTAGTTGCATAAACATAGATAACATTACGGAAAAATGGGAATTCGAAGATTCTTTAAAAACATTAGAGTCGCGGTGGTCGGCTATAGATTCCCTGCATTGGGAAATTGATCATGATCTCAATGGGGATGACGAAGAGTATGCAACTACGTTTAGTGTGTATGAACAGGAATTTATGGATTTAAAGAGAAAACTCAATTCCAAAATGTGGTCTGTCAATCACCGAGAAAACAGTACGCCCAGAATGGATATCCCTACATTTAACGGTAATTATAACCAGTGGATACCATTCAAAGATCTTTTCACAGAAACAATTCACAATAACCCGTCGCTTTCAAATGCTCAAAAAATGCAATTTTTAAAGAGTAAGCTTCAAGGGGATGCAGAGCGTTTAATACAGCATTTGAATATTAGTTCAGAAAATTATGTAACTTGTTGGGAAATGCTAAGTCATAGGTTTGACAACAAGCGAAGAATTTTCGTATCTCACATTAGCCTATTGCTTGGTTTCCCTAATATTCAGCAGCAGGCGGTAAATCAAATTAAAAAATTACATGATACTACTTTAGAGTGTTTAAACGCGATTAAAAACTTAGGCGTAGACATTAACACATGGGATCCGTTACTAGTACACATATTGTCGCAAAAATTAGACATGGAAACATATACAGGATACATAGAATCGCAAAAAAGGCCTAGAGATCTACCCGTGCTGCAGGAGTTTCTGGACTACTTGGAAAGCAAATTTACAACACTTGAATTATGTCGGCGAAAACAAGAAAATACATCAAAATTAAACGTTCAGTCTCAATATAACTTCAATAATTCATCATCGAGTAATAATTACAAAAAGCAATTCAATTTTAATCAAAATACGACGAACAAACATATTGCAAAATCATATAACGTTACTGGAATCAAATGTCCTCTTTGTAATGATGATCATGGCATTTACAATTGCAAAACATTTTTAGCAATGCCAAATGGAATTAAATTAAAAACCACCAACAAATTGAAACTTTGCATAAATTGTTTATTTAGCCACAACGGAAATCCATGTATTTCAACACAAAGGTGCCGTAAATGCTTGCAGAAACATAATACTCTGTTACATGACGCGTGCACAAAGTCCATATCCGGTACACAGGTTGCGAAAAAACTTATCGAGTCCGTGACAAACACTTCGCACGTATCACAAAATAATTTTGGAGGAGAAGTTTTGTTATCGACAGCTTTGGTGAAAGTTAAGGCGTTAGATGGAACATATCAGATCAAAAGGGCGTTGATAGATCAAGGATCCCAAATTTCGCTCATTTCGGAAAATGCCGCACAAACCTTAGGCCTAAAAAGACAGCACTGCAAGGGAGTTATATATGGCGTCGGGGAAAAAGAAAACACTTGCAAAGGCATGTTAAATATTACGTGTACATCCATGTTTAATGATTATTCTTTCAGCACTCATGTTTATATAATGAACAACTTAATTAAACATTTGCCAAACCAATCGTTCGCAAAGCCTTCTTGGTCATTTATAGAAAACATAAACTTGGCTGATCCTGAGTTTTATAACAGTCGTCCCGTGGACTTACTCTTCGGTGCTGATATTTATTCTATGATCATGTTAAGTGGCATTTCAAAGGGAGATTCATCGCAGCCTATCGCACAACAAACTCAGCTAGGGTGGTTGTTGTGTGGTAATGTTAAAACATTTCAATGTAATGTTATCACAAACGACATAGAAAACATTCAGAAATTTTGGGAAATAGAACAAATAACGGAACATCCAGAGTTGTCTTTGGAAGAACAGCATTGTATACAATACTATACTTCAACTACGAAACGTCTTGAAAATGGTCGTTATGAGGTTAGGCTACCCTTAAAACCCGAAATTAAAACAAAATTGGGATCAACAAAATCAATGGCAATTGCACAGTTTCGGAATTTGGAAAGAAAACTTGTAAAAAATGATAATTTCGCGGAAAAATATAAAGCCTTTATTAAAGAGTATGAACAATTGAATCATATGAAACAATCAGACGGTCATACGATGCCCGAGTGTTATCTTCCTCACCACGGTGTCGCGCGTGCCGAGTCAATGACCACAAGCCTTCGGGTCGTTTTTAACGCATCAGCAAAAACTTCGAGTGGATACAGTCTTAATGATTTAATGTATAAAGGGCCTAATTTACAACAAGATTTACAGTGCTTATTATTAAAATGGCGTCAATATAAATATGCTTTCACCGCGGATATTGAGAAAATGTATCGGCAGATTATGGTAAATGAACAAGACCAGCGTTATCAAAAAATTATTTGGAGAGAGTCACCGGAACAACCTTTGCAATCATACCAACTTTGCACAGTTACATATGGCACCAAGTCTGCACCATTTTTAGCAATGATAACGTTAAAACAGCTAGCAGAAGACGAACAAGCCACCTACCCGGAAGCATCATTGGTTTTAAAAGAGGCTTTTTATATGGACGATCTCGTCCATGGAGCTCACAGCATTCAGCAAGGTAGAAAGTTGTTTAAAGACTTAAACAGATTATTACAATTAGGAGGATTCACATTGAGAAAATGGGCGTCGAATAGCAATGAACTGTTTCATACCTTAGAAAAAAGTCAGATCAAAGAAGAAAACATAATTTTTAATTTTAAAACTGAACACTCTACACAACATCAATTAATGGCTGATTTACCAGAGTCAAGGGTTAATCCAGCACCACCCTTTCAACACACAGGCGTTGATTATACGGGTTTCGTTGAAATAAAGTCAAGCAAAGGACGAGGAATAAAAACTACCAAAGGATATATAGCAGTTTTTGTGTGTATGGTTACCAAAGCCATACACTTGGAATTAGTGTCCGATTTGAGCACCTCAGCATTTTTAGCAGCGCTTCGTCGCATGGCAGCGAGAAGAGGAGCTCCACGTCATATCTACAGTGATAATGGCTCAAATTTTGTAGGCGCTAATAGGATCTTGCAGGAAGAATACCAACAACTTCAACACATATTTAACAACAACCTTTTGATGGAGCTTTCAGAGTTGAACATCGAATGGCATTTCAATGCTCCCTCGTGGCCAAGCGCTGGAGGTTTATGGGAGAGAGCTGTGCGCAGTTTAAAACATCACCTGAAGCGTGTGGTTGGTGATCAAAAGCTAACATACGAAGAATACTCGACAGTTTTGAGTCAGATAGAAGCGTGCTTAAACTCAAGACCCTTGTGTCCGCTAACTGAAAACGTAGAAGATTTGGAGTTTTTGACACCTGCACATTTTTTAACAACAAATGTAGGTTCCACCATAATAGAAACGCCCGAAGATGCCAGGACAAGATGGCAGCTAACAAAACAAATATTTCAAGGTGTGTGGAAAAGGTGGAAAGCGGAATACCTTACTCAATTATCTAGTAGGAGTAAGTGGCTAAGACCGCGACCAAACATGAAGATCGGTGATATGGTCATCATTCAAGACGACAACTTACCACCAGGAAAATGGGCGATGGGGCGAGTAGTAGAACTTCACCCAGGTAGCGATGGACATGTAAGAGTGGTAACATTAAAAACAAAAAACGGTAATCTTAAAAGACCAGTCAGTAAACTGTCATTACTACCCATTGAAACATCATCACAACAAAATGAACAGAAAGACAGGTCGAACAACTTTACACAAAAAATAACCCATAAACAAGAAAATAAGCTACAAGGCACCCGCTCCAAATTCAGCTCTATTGTTATGAGTTTAATGTTTTTTATATGTTTATTTACACCAGCATTTAGTACAAGCTCATACAATATTACAACTTTTAATAATAATCAGTCAATTTACTTCGATCCGATAGGTAAAATGCAGATAATCCAGGATAAATGGACACTTATTGTGTATTACAACTTAGAACCTTATTGGGAAGGAATTAAAGCATTTGAAATATTTTTAAAACATTTAAACGAAAGATGTATGAACATAAACGCAGATCACTTATGCCATATGATATTGTTACAACTACAGCACGAGTTCTCGGAACTGCAATACTACAATGAGCTCCTATTGAATCAGCATTTCGTCGGACGCTCCAGACAGCGACGGGGACTTGTGAATGGAATAGGCTACTTGGCAAATAGTTTGTTCGGCGTACTGGACGAACGTTTCGCGGAACAGTATAGTAAGAATATTGAACTTGTTAGACAAAACCAAAACCATTTATTGAATTTATGGAAGAAACAAACGTCTGTATTGGAATCTGAATATAATTTATTAAAACGTACCGAAGATTTGGTAGCCAAACAACATAAAATTATTAACAGACATTTGATAAACTTGGAAAAACAGACCAACAACATTCAAAAGGAAATAAAAAATATGTCAATGGCGCAAGATTTTACTATGTCTTCTTTAATAGCCAGCAATATGCTTCAAAATATAAAAATCACTCAGGAGAATCTTCTTGAAACTCTAACAGACATATACCATGGTCAATTTAACATGCATTTATTAACAGCCGAACAACTTCGAGAAGAACTCCACATAATCTCTGGTCATTTAACAGAAGATATAACATTACCAATAGAAAATATACAACAAGAAGTTCATAAAATTTATAAACTACTTAAGGTCAAAGCTAGAATGATGCAAAAATATCTTATATTCGAGGTAATATTTCCCCTTCTGAATAGAGACAAATACAAATTATACAAAATTATAACAATTCCTCACCAGGTAGAGAATAATATAGAGATAAGCATTTTTCCAATTGCAGAATACACAGCTATTAGTGTACGAAAGGATACTTATTTAAAAATCACAAACAAGGACTTATATTTATGTTTACATGAGGAGGATGTTTATTTGTGTCCTATCCGACAGCCCATTTACCATCTTTCAGAAGACAAGAATTTTTGCCAATTAGATCAAACAACAAGTAGATGCAGGATCTATAAGACATCTTGTACAAATAAATGGCTACCGCTGAATAACCCTTCACAATACCTATTCCACTGCTGCAACACATATGATGTTAAAATTATTTGCTCTGATCGTGTAATTGGGGAACGCCTAACTAAAGCAGGAGTGATATCTCTCGATAAGGGATGTTTGCTAAAAGGTCAAGATTTTACGTTGCTCTCCCACCAAATTTACACCCATCAAATTGAGATGAATAAGGACTTAATTCTTCCAAAAATTGACCCATTGAATAACATCATCAAAATAAGCATACCTTTAGAAACATTTGACGAAAATGACACCAACTTATCAGATTTGAACAGTTCCTTACATAACTTAGACCGTCAAATAAAAGACCTGAAAAAGAATAACGTGCAATTAACAACATTATCGTCGCACGACATCCATCACTATGCAATCAACTACGTGTTAATCGGAGTGGCAGCAGTCTTGGCGGCGGTGTTCGTGTGGAGATGGCGGCGACGGCGGCGGCGTGCACCCATCTCCCCAGACTTGGAGCTGCAGTCGGCGAGTAGTGTTAGTGCAGTGAGTGCGCGAAATCAAAGAAAGGCTTACCGTAAGCCTAGTGTTTTCACAGTGAGTGCTAGTGCGCGAAATTGTGATGTTGACCGTCAACATATGGGCAATATAGGTGATGTGTCGTGTGAAATTGAAAAACAAAACAAAGCGTGTTCTCCCATACCGCAAAGACATTTTAATATCTAATTATAAAAATAATTGTTTAATAATAAGTTAGATACTGTAACCATTTTCATCTTACAAATAACAATCATTCACTAGGTTAAGTTACAAATTGTTTATCACCTTGTTACTTAAATAAGATCATCTCATCAATCACATATCACCTAACTTACATTATAATCATCTCTTCACATTTTGGCCCGGCAGCATGTACGGTCCAACCGTACATTTCTGCTGGCGTTAACATTTTACGCAATGTATAGCGATTGCATTGCGTAGTTGGACAATTATAAAAACTGAGTTAGTTCACGTTTTCACCGTAAACGCGACGGACGCGAACTCATCAACATAACATTTAACATTAACATTTAGCATTATTCAACATATTTTAATCTTATATTTTTTACTTGTTTATTAAACTGTTTTAACATAAAATCTAAATTATTATTGAACAGTCGTCCATTACCCGAACAATTTGATATAAATATTGTGAGCCTTTTCCAAGCGGGAAGGGATTAATTAATAAGGAATTGACGGTTGTGAAACAGATACAAGTGGAATAGGGACAATTTATTGTTCTTAACCTTTTTGAGCTCTGTCTTCGTGAACGGGGTTCTTTAGCTTATAAGACTCTACCAACAGCTTTTGATTGCTCTAATATGATTGCTGAATATTCATTCTTCCAAGATACACCTAAAAGAACTAAGTTACTATACAAACACAACGTAAAAAAGGGTCCTAACTAAGACGATCACTTTGATAAATTTATTAAACGGCCTATATTTAAGCCTTTAGAAAGATCAAGATATACTGGTCACGTAAATTAGATATATTTATATATCTTACAGGTATAGATTCTAAAGATATACAAGTATAAGTGGATAAATAGTAGAAAAGAAAAAAGATTGGGGGGGGGGGTTCGTTACAACATCACTACTAAATACAAATAACGACGCGGCTCGAGCACAAATTACAAGGATAACAAATAAAAAATACAACAAAAAATTAACGGTTAATAAATGCAGTTCCTATCAAATCGAGTTGAATAGAAATTACACAAATACGAATTACCACTTATCAACCAAATACAAGTTAGCACAAAAGAAAAGACACAAATCAAATTAACAAATAACAAATACTAGTGCGATCAAATCAAGTTAAATTCAAATTGCGCAAATACAATTACTACTCTTTAGTTCAAATACAAATTACAATACAAACGAAGATACACCTCACGGCCGATCAACAAAAAATGCATAGCTCGGAAATCGACCCTTCGATAAGCAATCCACTACAACTATCCGACAACGATAATTAACCGATTACGTGATAATATCCATCTACCTACATGACAAATACCTCTAGAAAAACTCCCGCTTGCGCACTAAAAGGGCGCGGCTTTCAAATCTACCCGCTAACCAAATAAGCAAGCAACAAAGGAAAATAATTTTATTATTACGTCCAAAAAAAATATTTTTACGTATTACGGACGGGCGTGATTGTAGACATGTTTTCGCATTTGAACTAATTAATGGTGACGATAAAACAAGTACTCGGATGGTGATGTGAACCTCAAGATAAGGTAGTCTGCTTAGACGCCTTGAGGTACTATCGCCATCAAGTATCTGCTGGCTCAAGTTGCAATCGATATCTCCCAAAAACTTCACAATGCGACACATTCACATATTGTGAAGAAGTTTTTAAACAAATTGTTATATTAAAGGACAATTTTATATTATACTCGGTGCTGGCTAAATTACAACAATACGAGTCCATTGTCAAAAAGAAAGAAATAAACAAACCTGTCAACAGGCGGCGGCAGCGGCGCCATCATGTGCGGGTGCGGCGGCATCGGCGGGTGCGGCGCGTGCGGGTGAAACGGCGAGCCGGGCGGCGCGAAGCCCGGCCCCGGGAAGTGGCCCTGCTGCGGGCCCGCGAAGCCACCGCCGGAGCCGGGCCGCGCGGACGGGCTGCCGAAGGGGCCTGCGTACGGCGGCCCCGCGAACCCGGGCCCCGGGCCCGGTGTGGAGGGCGCCGGCGACGCGGCGAACGCGGGCCCCGCGGGCGAGCCTGCGGGCGCGGCGAACGTGCCGAAAGGCGCGTCGCCGCCGCCCTTCCAGCCGGCGCCCACGCCGCCCGCCTCGTCCAGCGCCGGCACGCGCCGCTGCAGGCCCACCGACATCTGATACGTAATACCACCTTTAGTGGAAACAATGGAACGGTTTGATGTTCACGTTAGACCAATATAAATGTGGGGTATTTTTTATATAATAAAGGGTAACAAACCAGCACATTCCACCTGATGGTAAATGGACACTGTGGCCCAAAGACATCTATATCTATCCTCGGCTAAGCATCAAAATGCAGATGCGTTGTCACCCTCGAGGAATAAGATTAAATGCCTCGTTTCTAGTAAAAAGAGATTGCGGTTCTCTACATGAAAACAAAGAGCACAACAGCATTACGCTGCTATTTTTGATGGTATTCTGTGAAAGCGTGGTCCATACCCCGATCGAACCGACCCCTTCGTGGTGCAGCTATAAAATAAGCTAGAGCGTGACTCTGTCTCACAGACCAAATCAAGTGTTGCAAGGTTTGTTAGTGTTGGACGATATGTAAAGAGAACAATGACTCCATTTTTTTATTTTATAGTATAAGGGTGACAAACAGGCACACAGTCTACATAATAGTAAGTCGGAAGCTATGGCCCACTAAAATATAGGTATATCAGTCTTCGATTAAGAATCATAATGCAGATGCGGTGTCACCTGTACGGACTAAGATGGACTGCCTCGTTTATGCTAAAAAGGGCCTCCGGTTTTCTACACTCACCATACGAAACACAGCATAATTAAGCTGTTATACTCGTATTACGCTGGTATTTTGAGAGAGCGTGGTCTTTCCCCGGTCGAGCCGACCCATTCGTTCTACAACTATACTACTAATATAGCAACAGCATGCCTCTACCTCGTATAAAATACTACCATCATTGTATCTGAAGAGTAGCCAGGCGTTCAGTGCAAGATGAGGGGCATATACAATTTCTTACCGCGAATACTCGTCCCGAGTAATGAAATGTTTTGGTCAGAAAGATACCCATATTTTGATTATATTGATGTATCAAATGTGGTTGACAAACAGTTATTTTCTTTTTCTCTTTTTGAGAATATCGATCTGTTTTGTGCGAGGGGGTTATACCAATCGCATTTCAGCAAACTGTCACCATGCTATTATCATACCACTTGCATACACATACAAATTTTAAAGTTTCATTGCGACAGTCCGTAAATGTTCCGCTTGAGATGAGTCTACCGGCTTAATAGATAAAAAATCTATACAAGCTCTATACATACTAAATAATCTATGATTGCTAAGAAAAATAGTATTTCACTCGTCTTGTGCAATAGTGTACATAGATCGTACAGATCATTGGGTACATCGCGAGACGGCTCCAAGTTAATACAACCTTTATAACGTGCGAGTAGAGATTAAAATTGTGTCACCGCGATCTCTAACGACTTGTCTTGCTGCGTCGACAGGTGTAATACGTTTGTCTCCGCGGGGTTACCTCTTGGTTATTGACCTTTCTACGTAAGTGAATTCGATTCCCGGACCGCGAACACCATTTTGTAGTTGTTTTTTACTTCATGTCATTTATTTCTTTTGTGTTTTCGGCTTGCGAGATTACATTCACAGACATGTTATATAACATGGAAGATATTTAGACAAATAACCTCATCAATTCATTAATGATTCGTTGCTGGAGATTTGATTCGCCCACTGTTGAGAACAGAACCTGGCAAACGGCGAGTGGCAGACTACTAGCTAACTAGCATCTCCTGCAGACCATGGACTAACTAACTTTAAGTATTGAAAGTGACAGATGCATGCTCATCCCTGAGGACTAAGATGGAATGCCACACAGCCTAAGTAATACTACATCTCTATATATAAAAATCGATTGCTGTCCGTTAGTCTCTGGTTGGATCATTTTGATGAAAAATGATTTGAGTGGGTCCCTGAAGGATCTAAACGATTCACGATAGTACCCGGTAGGTTGCGCTGTTGTCGAAATCCAGAAAACACACGTGCGCAGCCGGGGCGGATCGCTAGTATTAAATAAAACAAATTTTACAGTTTACTTCGCATGTAATTAAATTTAATTTTTAAGATGGTTTTGCAGTCTATGATCAGTATCAGGACCGTCCCCTAGATTTTTTTTTATAGAATAAGGGTGACGAACAAGCACACAGTCCACCTGATTGTATTTAGATGCTGTGGCCCATACACATCTACGAGTACGTCAATGAACGATGAAGAATCAAAATGCAGATGCGTTGTCACCTATTAGAACTAAGATGAATGTCACGTTTCTAGTAAAAAGGGTTTCCGGTTCTCTACACTCAACATACGAAACACAACAACACAAACAGCTGAACGCTGCTAGTCTACGCTGGTATTCTGTGTGAGCGTGGTCCTACCCCGGTCGAGTCGACCCATTCGTGCTACAACCACAATATAGCTGCAGCGTGGCTCTATTCTCGCAATAAAAAAAAACATCAAATTTCTACTAAGTTAGTTGAAAAAAAAACGTCCGATTTTAAACAGCGAATTTGGTTGGATGCTACGATCATTAAAAAAATTAAAACCGATATAGGACTCTTTCTACTGCCTATTTTTGCTGTGTTTCAGTCTGTAGAGTGTAGAGAGCCAGTTTAATTACAGGCTATAGCCATTTCATCTTTATCCTCAGAGTTGATAACGCCCCTGTAGCCTTCTTTGTATTAAGGCGCAGGTTGAGCAAAATGTCGCGCTAGTCGTTATTTGTGCGGTTTTTAGAAGCTATCTACTTTTTATTTAAAAGATATATCAACAAATAAAAAACACATTATATTTCTACATAATCTTGATTCCATAAAAGCTATATCCAATTTTTGTTTAAACGAATAAATATTAATATAATCTCCTTACAACGAAACCACATAAATGTGAAATTATTATTGATAACATGCATCTCCTCGTAAAGTAAGTACGAGTATTATTTTATTTTGCGATTTACACCAATGGATAGGCAATTTGTTAATAAACATTTCTATAGTAAATTTTTTTTCAAAAGACCAAAATTTGATTTTATTAAGAAATTATTTTAAAATCTGGGCGTATTTACTGCCCACGGGCTTGCTGGAGTCAGTGAGCCCTGAGCTCTTACACGTGGAACCCGTGTCGTTAGAGCGTCTGCCAGCGCACACGCGCATCATATTATAATATTATTACTTATTAGGTTATTTATAGGTAGTATTATTTGTTTGTTTTGGGTATAATTTTTCGTATTAGTTATACATATATTTGTTGTGTTTTTTACTGCGCGATGAAGCTTTTTGCGTGTATATTTTTGTGTGTGTCTTTGAAGTAAACGCAAATAAAAAAATGAAGCACCATTAGCATGTAAGGTTCGAATCCATAATTAAAATTTCGACAAATATTATAATTTACACTATAAAAGGCTAATTCAATATTATCACCCAACCACAATATCTTATTAAGTATAGTACCGCCTCGTTGGTGTAGTGGTTATAGTAGTGCGACTGCTGATCATGAGGTCCCGGGTTCGAATCCTGGGTCGGGCCCAAAAGTCAGTTATGAGTTTTTCATTTATGTTCTAAGTTATAATTAGTATTACTAAGTTATAGTTTTTTGCTAAAATATAGTAGGTATATTATTTATTGCTTGTTTTTTCTTCTTTTTCAAAAAATAATTGAGTACATAAGGTGTTCTATACTTATAATTCGGTAAAAAGTATCTAAGTAGGTACTAATATACCTACTTTTTACTAACTAAAAATTTTTAAAACTAAATTTAACAAAAAAGACTAAACTGACCATTTATTTTTTAACTCAAAACAGGACATGGGTTTATTTATACTCTAAAAACTATAACTTTATACAATTAGTGTTCACTGTAAAATTATATTCGGTATAGACGGTAATTATTAAATGCAACATATTTTTTTTTAATTATTAATTACATTTGTCAGTGGATTAAATTTTCTTTAATAAAGTTGGTGATGATTTTAAATAAAAATAAAATTCTGCTCAAGTTTTTTTATTGTTATCTTTGTTAACAACATCGCCTTTAGAACTCTGGAACCGTAAGTGTTTCTTTCAGACGTCCACAATTTATTCAAAATAAAAAAAAATACTCTTTCTACCGGAGCATTCGTACCAGGTAGACATAAAATATATTCGTTTAAAAAAAATTATGTTGAAGATTGTTGACTTTGAATACTTCCATCCAACGAGTTACGTGACAATTTTGTGTCCCGGAGCTTTGTTTGAGTACAATGGGACAGGTGACCGAGAAAAGGGACAGTCCCGTTCAAAACGGGACGTATGGTCACTTTAGCTATAACCCGGCAACGGCTTCGTGGCGTAGTGGCTTAGCAATCAGTTGTTACGCCGGGGGCCGCGGGTTCGAATCCCGCACGGAACAAGTATTTGTATGGCCTACAAATAATTGTTCCGGGTCTGGATGTTTGTCCTTGTGCAATTTATGTTTGTAAACTGCCTCCACGACACAGGAAATCCTAGTGTAGGGGTAACGTTTTTTTACAATTGAAATTGAAAGATTGAACCCTTATACTTCTTGTTGGTTTTTGTATTACCTTTATTAAAGTTACCCTTATATATAAATAAATATAATTACGTATGTAGAAATAAAATTGATTTTCATCCTCATCAATCATTGGGGTGAGGATAATGTCTGCCAGCATAAATAATAAGCAGGCTAAGTTACAAGGTGCTCAGTTAAAAAATTGGTAGGTAGGTATATTACTTTTCAATACGTGACACGCAATAATCAAAAACACATCTGCGAAACATCCTATTTATTTATTTATTTTTTATTGCACCAAATATTTGTACAAAAGCCGAGCTATCTATTTATTTACCTATAGTGAATAGGTATCTTTTAAACTCACAATTTTCAATGCTTCATTTTTAATATATAATTAATTATAAAATTTCATAATTAGATAATATATGAAAATACATAATTCTAATATAATGCAACATATATATACCGAATAAAAAAATTAAAATACATTTATCTTTGTACGCTGTGTGTATTTCCATAAAATAGTTTATTGATGTTGAAAAAATAATACTACGTTCAAAGATGTTTATAAAATATCTTTG